TATAGATCACAAGAAAGCATGTGTATGGAAAGAGCAGACTCAAAACTAACAAGTGGAATTATTATTTCATCAGAAAAATGTGTACTGAGGCCATAAATCAAGTAAAAAGTAGAGATGGCACGATACCACTTTATGTCGGATACCTATACCGAGATCATAATTTTGGATACCTGACCCCAAGAAGGGACCGGTCCCATCCAACTACCGACCAATAACCTGCCTCAGTACTACATGGAAGCTCCTGTCAGGCATCATATCAGCTAAGATGAACAGGCACATGGGTCAATACATGAGCGGGGCACAGAAAGGGATTGGCAAGAATACCAGAGGCGCAAAACACCAGCTACTGGTAGACAGAACAGTGAGCCATTCTAACAACAGCTTATTGACCTTAAACCTGCTGCTGTTGTTCAGCCACTGGTTTCCTCTTTCTGGTGCAAAGCGGACCAAAAACAAACAAGAGACGGACTCGCGACAGAAAAGCCGATCAGCTGATCATTAATCAGTTTCATGATTGAAGTAGCAACAAGAGAAGGAGAGAGAAGAGGCACTCGCTCCATATATCGGTTGTTAAGCTTAACGTGGGAATGCTTTACAAACATTCAGAGATGAACTTACACTTGCTTTACTTCCCTCTGGGATCACTTTCTCGGAGATGAAATGCCTGTTTGGTAGCGAGGCTACAAATACTCAACCAGACCGCTGACAGGTCTCGCACGCCACAGCCGCTCTATCACGTGACACATACTGCTCCTATGTGCTACGCTTATGAGCTGAGTTACGCCATGTTGCAAGTTTTGTGAGGTGCTTTTGTGATGTTTAATGGATCGGATTACATTTTTCATTTCTCTCCGATATCCGATCCAGTAATTTAGGTCCATATCGGACTGATACTGATACGTAATATCGGATCAGTCCATCTCTAGTTAAAAGTAAGGTTTTGTTTTGTTTGGGGGGGTGTTGCAAACATAGGTTTTGCCCCCCGCTGGCCAATAGAGCGAATGCAGGTTTAGGGCACAGACTGCAGTAAAGATCCGAGCGCTCTGGGCCTGT